GTGTGATTTTGCCAGGTGATCTCATTGGCACCATTTGGGCTAGTACAGAAAACAAATGGGTCGGTGAGGAAGAATCTTTGGGGCTGCCGAATATGTGACTTAATGCCAACTGAGAGCACTAATAAGCAATGAGGCATACACATTAGAGGTAATTAAATATTTAACTCTGATCACATTCGCAATTTCGTCACATAGTCCGGCCCTCGGATTGGACTGGCCCACTGGGCATTTGCCCGGACTGCCCTATGGCTAGTCTGGACCTGTGTGTAGGTGTAAAATGTAGTTTATTAGAAGAGATTAATTTCTTCATAAAGTAGCTGGGCATGTTTGCACTATGGCACGCAGTGTAACATTTTAGAGAATGGGATTTTTGTATCAGTGCACATAAAACTCGATCCCAGTCACAAGCTTCCAAATGCTGGCCATTTACGCAATTGGAAATTGGCAAATGAACCCGTAGTTGGCCTTTTCTAGATTTATTCAGGGGAGGGAAAAAACGAATACTTGGGGTGGTGTCAAAGCATTTGCAACTGGAAGACAGAGGAAGCTGGGTGTCGTGGCAACTGCATTGCTCCCTCGTGTATGGGGCACGTTTTCTAACGGGAGAGCTTCACAGAGCAATATTCACAAAAAGTGTACGTTAAAAAATCAAAAAACACCTTCTCAAGTCGGTGCTAAAAAGGTAATGCAAGGCATATTCACGTGGGAGTTGAAGCAAGAAAAGTCAGGTACAACAAGCTCGCTGAGCAACTGAATGTATTTCCTGTCGACGGGACACAACTGCCAATACATATCAGAGTGTGTATACCTAGGACAGTTATTGAAGGCAGTCCAGGATCAAAATGGTGAAATATAGAAGCAGATGAGAGCAGGTTGGAGTGCCGTTTTAAAAATAAAACGAATAAAAAGCAATGCACCAATGTGCCAAAGTAAGAACTATTTAAATCCAGGTATATTACCTGTTATGACATAATGAATATACATCCAGGCGTTGATTACTAATATGTAAAATAATCTGAAAGGTTCACGCAATGATTTTTTTTCCTGAAAGACAAAAACGGGAAGAGATAGATTTGAGAACAAAAGCAAATTATAGATATTACATTAACTGGCTTGGGCAGGACATGTCGCTGTAAGGGACCATGGCTGGTGGTTGAGACCAACGATGAAATGTCACCAAAGGAGGTAGCGTGCCTGAGAGAACGCCCACAGCAGAAGTGAAAGTGATGAAATTAGCTCATGTGCAGGAGCTAGATGGATTGTTGAGATCGTGTGACAGCTTGGGAAAGTATTCATCTGGCAGTGGATGGATCATGGCTGATCATGATAATTCATTTGGGAAGGTGGCATAGTAGGTGGCACAGATAGTACATCTTCCAGTTAACGTAGCTTGTTTGCCTGAATAAAAAAAACTGGGGTCTGTCCCGTAATCGAGACTTTACTACCTGCTAGCAAACCTTCACCACTTCACATGGTCGCAAGGCACATTTATCTTGGCACACACTCCGGTGAGGTCACCACCACTTACAGGTAAAGGGCAGCTGTTGTTGTGCGGCCTTTTAAGAGCCTATTTTGAATGGATGCGAATTAAACTGTGGAGAAAGCTATAATTCGCAGTGGGGTTTTATTCCAAGCCTTCACATCCACACTGTCCAGATGGCCACAACTCTTTACACTGTGCATGGCTGAGCAAAGGGCTCGGCTTATCAAAATGTTTCCACCATCATTTAACACACGGTTATTCGGATGTATGCGCGTGCGATTACATTGTTGGTTGAAACGAGGTAGCGTCTTACGGTGTGGTATAAACACGCACTTTGTTTTCACTCAAAAAAATAAAGTAGGCTTAAATAATATTAGGATCATGGCAGTGAGTGAATTTATTTCAAGAGCCATTACAGCATGAGTGGCCGCAGTACACCCCTTGGCAAAACAGACACTGTGATAGCTGTAATAGAAGATGAGGACCGTGTGTTTCTGCATCCCATTGCCTTCTAATTGCTGGGTGGATCAATGTAGCAGGGAGCAAGACCGTGCATGTACCCACATGCAGTGAAGGCGTTTCAGCCCATACACCCATTGTGAGTTCATGACAACTGGAGATTTTGCACCTGTGGCTCGTGATTACGCCAGTGTTCATAGACAAGTAAGACACGCCAGTTCAAATCCGACTTCGAAGTGAATGAAGTGATGGACACTTAAATGTAAGTTACATTCTATTATGCCATCAATGCTCCAGTGAGGTTTAAAAAAAGTATAAAAAAATAAACAAATAAAGATGAGGTTCACTCGCTGACAGAAATACTGCACAATCATTCCTCCAGCAGGCCTTCGATAAACACATTAAACAGTTGCCTGCGTGAGAGACATGGCTGTGTATGGATGTGTCTTCACTCTTATTCAGGCTCATCAGCATGCCTTGCATATCCATGAGTGCCCAGAATGTCAAGTACGTATGAAGAAGCCGCAGATAAATAATGGAACACCTGACATTTGGAACAACCATATTGTAGTAATTCATGCTTAAGCTGTTTCAGCAATGTTTACAAACAAATGCGTGCAAGGAAATCAGGAGAATGGAAGACACATTTTCATTGAGTGTATGCCCATGACATTTAGAGGCAAATGCTCCCACATGCTAAATATTTGTGAAATATTCATGCCAGAATTTTTTTGTACAAAAAAATAAAGGCAAAATCATAGATAAAAATGTTTTGATTTAGAAGCGATATTGAAAATGTGTTTGTTCCACACGATTCCTGTAAGTGAGATTGCAGTGGATCTAGTAAACTGGTGCCGGTGACAAACACTGACATGCTCGATACACGATGGCCAGATGAGCAGGCGGTTGCAAGAGATGAATGTTCCTTCATCAACACTGTGCTAAAACTAATCAATTATACTTCATCAGCGTTATGTATTTGCAGATACATCAGTGGTGAGTGATATCTGAATTTGCCCTGCCACTGCCACCCACCAAACTTTACCAACCAGCACCGACCGGCATGATGAGGCAATGGTCATACAACCCACATGTCAGAAGTGATGTGGGATAACCATCATCCAGCAGTCGACTGAACAAAGGACTCTAAATAAGTGTAAGGGTTGCTATAATTATAACAATACTTAAACTATTATACCAGCGCTGCAGTATACCAACTGGAGCATTTAAGAAAATTAAATCATTAAGTAACACGTCCAAAAAGGATTTTTAATGATAATGGGTTTATTCTATTATATCAATATTTTAGTGCTGTTATAACCCTATTACATGAACAGGCAAAACCATCTGTCCTCACAAAGGTGAGTTCAATGCTTCAATAGGAAAAATGTGAGGCTGTAGAACATAATTTATGTATTTCTACTTAGTTAACTGAATTGCGATTCTTTATGTTATATTCTGCATGTTATGCCTGTTGGGCATTACCTTATTAGTAGCATATGATGCTCCAGATATCAGCTGCTATTCCTTGTTGTTGCATAAGATACATCAAAGCACCCCAAGGGAGGTTTTTTGTTGTTATATGTCAAGTCGAAATGCCCTGCAACATTATTATTTGGATGCCAAGAAAAAAAGTATTTTGTTCATTTATCCATGTAATTAAAATTCCCAAAGCCAATGATGCTCAATAAATGTTGTCGAGGTTAATAATTAATGTCATCAGTAACAAATGAAAGCGCCTGAAACATACATGTATGCTCTGTTTTACTTGGGGTAGCTATGGGTACTGAGGACCAATGAACTGACACGAAACAACAAATTCCCCTCTAGTAATGTTTGATTTACATGTGTCGATTTTATATAATCACATAAAGAAAATTAGAATGCTGCAAACCCATGTTTATGTGAACTTTATGAAAAGTAATCTCCTAAATGCCAGTCTGAAAACGCAGTATAGACTTTATTAAAAGTCATTTTCTAAATGCCAGTCTGAAAACACAGTATAGACCAGTTTCTCATTCAGCTCATGAGTTTCACTTATAGAGTTTTAAAATGTGGAAACAATTCATATGTAATTAGGCATATAGAATAAATTACATTGTATACTATCTAGATACCGTGGGTGTATCCACATCATCAGTGAACTTTTGTGTTTCACATTCTAAGAAAAAATTTAAGGGCACTTGTAAAATTTACATGCACCAACAGCATGAGCATTAAATTTAAAATGGTTAGCATAAAAGAGTAGGCCAAAATCCCTCAAGTGGAGTCCCTTCCACCAACAGTGGCATAAGCAAGAAATTGGCAATAAATTGTCATCTTGCTACAGTGGCTAGATGTTAATTCCCTCGCCTGGTATGCAGGAGGTCGTGAGTTCGATCCCCACCTTGATGCCTGTATGTTTGGAGTGTATCATGTTCTTTCCGTGGTCACATGGATTTTCCTCCAGGTCCTCTGGTTTTTCCCTCCACATTTATAAACATGTGTTTAGAGCATTTGGTTGCTATAAATTGCCACATTTTAAGCCACTTCGCTGAGCTAGCATTTGTAGCCTCGTGGCTTCTGAAAAATATCTATATAGCTCAGAGGGCCTTACCCAGTAAAAGAAACAAATCTTCATAATAAATGTGTCGTAACCCTCACCACTCGACACAGCCAGTAAGGTTTGTTAATGTAAACAAAACCCCAAAACATTTATTATGAATATTGTTGGTCATGAAAGCCTACGTGTTGAACCAAACTAAAAAAAATAGTTTTAGTTTTTAATGCAGGACTGCACCTTGCCGTCAAAGGATACCATAGGTCTGCTGTGATTACCATGACAAGGCAGATAATGGCAGACTCCCAGCCATTACACTTGACATTGAGGCGTGTGTCTCCTGACCACGGTGAGATTGGAAATCTCGACTCAGGCTTATGACCTCTGCGTAGCCTCGTATACACAGTAATGGGACAGTAATGGGAGTGTAACCCGAAGCACGGCCACTGTGAACGCTGGCAGGGCCCCCACGGGTTACTCCTACAACAACGGTATGAGACATAAACAGAGATGACTCACAGCTCGAGGATGAGGGTCACGTCGGTGTCGTTCTCGTACACCTCGTGCAGGCTGATGATGTTGGGGTGCCGCAGCTCGCGCAGGATGCTCACTTCCCGCTTAATATCCTCGGGCACCACTCCCCGTCTAGAGCTGCGTGACCGTCGCTTCTTGATGAACTTGGCAGCGAACTCCAGGCCGGACTTTTTCTCACAGCATTTCTTCACGACTGCAAACTGCCCGCTGGGAAGGGAAGGGAGGGTGCGGTTGCGTGAAGATCAGGAGGTGACGGAAACACGTCTTGAGCTCAAAGCTGAACCACCACATGAAATGTGTTCTCCGTAAAAGTGCAGTTCAGAACACATTATATAAATGTTTACATTTAAGATAAGTAGTGAGCGAATACAAGTTGTGAGAATTGATGGAAAGGGTGATGGGAAAAGTGGGTAAAAGTAAAGCACAACTCATATTCATAATAAAGGTTTTTGGGTTAGATCGCGTTATTTATAAATGTGTCGTAACCCTCCACTACCCGACACGGCCAATCAGCAAAAAGAAAAAGTGTCACGTTGACAAAAGACAAATAATTCACTACTTTAGCCCACCGGTGTGTTGAAGAGTGAATCCACACCATTTACAGTTTGAGTACTCTTCAACACACCGGTGGGCTAAAGTAGTGAATTATTTGTCTTTTGTCAACGTGACACTTTTTTTTGTTGATTGGCTGTGTCGGGTGGTGGAGGGTTACGACACATTTATAAATAACGCGATCTAACCCAAAAGCCTTTATTATGAATAATATTGGTCGCGAAAGCCTACGTGTTAAACTGACAACTCATTAATTACTATGCTTATAAAACATTTAAAACATGTTATATTTATAACTTGTATTTTAGGAGGTTTTAATTATTAAATCCAACACATTTTCATGAGCGCTTAATATGATTAGGACATATATAGCACACACCATTGCAACGTTATTTTAAAATAGTTTAGTTGGATTGTATTAAATTTAGCATATAACTCCTTGATTTATTATATGAATACCCTGACGCCTACATATTTGGAGTTTGCACTGCTATAAATTTCCACATTATGTCACTTCATTGAGCTATCACTTGTGGCCAAGTCGCTATGTAGCTCAGTGGGCCTCAGCTGATAAAACAAAAATTGTTTTAGAGTTCATAAAAATGTTTCCAAACGCAAAAAAATGTACACGACCCGTAAACGACTCAATTGGAATCTACATCGCAGTCGTCGCCCCCTACTGCAAAATAAAATTGGCAGGACCATTCCGAAAACAACGAGGCTTTCCTGGGTAACCAAGTGTAATAACAATTATTAGCACTGCCTTAGGCAGAACGATGTAAATAGGCAAATGTTTCAGGCAATTTCCCTTCAATTAAAGAATGGACAATACCCCTTTAGAAAGGGCAGCTGTCCACATTGTCATCCTATTATACATTTTTCTGTTGTCAGGCAGTGGGGTAATGAGTGTGGTGAGTTTTTTTTTCATGTCAATCATGTACCACTGCCAATGCAGTCGCTGAATATTTTTTTTATTTATATGACAATCATTGTTCAGCTGCAAAAAAGCTAATGATACTGAACACCCTTGTGGATTTAGGTGTAACCTTACATTTAATTCAGTCGTGAACATGTCTGACAGCTTGCAGACGTCTATGTGTGCATCAGTTTTTTTTTACCATTTTGCCAAGTCCATAGAATATTTAGAATTCCAACTGTTGTTTTTTTGCAGGTTGTAATGTGACACCAAACAAAGAAATGTTCCCAGACCAATTTGCTCAAAAATAGCTTGAGGCCTTGCTGAGCAGAAGTAGCCATAGAAGATAAAATCGTAAATCTTCCAATATATCACAGTATTACAGTGTGTGTGAACAACCTGCTTTATCTTTACCCTGACGACAGTGGGGACCAATCTCAACCGTGTCCAACAACAAATTAAATATCTGGATTTTGCCTCCGTAAATGGAAGATCGAGGACTTACCAAACTGCAAACGTGGTGAGGTGCAAACCATCGCTGATGACTTTCCCGCGTGTTCAGGTGGAACAAGCGGACTCCACTCTGGGGTGCCGCGGTGTGGCGAGATATTGACGAGATATTGACTACTAATGAAGTCATGGGTTTGATATTTGGAGTTTGCATGTTCTCCCTGTGGTCGCGTGTATTTTTCTCCCGGAGCTCCGTGTTTTCCCTTCACATTTATTCATAAATATGTGTTGAGAGTATATGGCTGCGATAAATTTCCACATGATAAGCCACATCATAGGGCTATCATTTGTGGCCAGGTCGCTTCTGAAAAATAGCTATATATCTCAGTGGGCCTTACCTGGTAAAATAACAAGAAATATTTTTAAATTATTTTAATAGCTACCCTAATACAACACACGTATTCTGGTGGAACACGCAGACTCCACTCAGCTAAGAAGTCGAATGCCGTGGAATGTCTCACAACATTTAAGCATACGATTTCTAGACTGCTGCTCGTTTCAAACACCACACAAAGGAAGAAAGAGACGAAGATTAATGCAGCGCTTAATTGTTAAATAGATGACAACCTATCATTTAGGGGTGTATTTTAAAACTGGTAATACCCACAAACTATCATTCTCCAGAAAGGAGGCTTATGATGAGAGTACGGTGGGGGTTAAGTGTATGGAAAATAATGAATTATAAAGTTAATTGTGTAGCCAACTAAGGGGATATGATACAAAAACAGCTATCAAGGATGTATTGTAAGTCTTTCATTGAAATTATCATGGGTTTTGTTACAACGTATATGTTACTTTTCATGTTTTTCTAGAACTCCCCTCAATGATGTGCAAATTTAACATGTGCATGCAAAGCCCACTGAAAGCTAAAGACAACATCGCAGAAGCATGCCAGCTGATGTCAAACTTCAGAGTGCTCAGCTAGCACCGTTGGAATCCGGGCTTTGATTCTAGGCAGTGCTCAATGTTTAAATCGGGTTCTCAAGATGTAACATGTTTATCGTCTCGGTCACCAATGAAGGCAAAACAACCCATCACATACAATTAGAGTCTACATTACTCTCAGTGACAGAGTGAGTGGGTAAGTACTGCCACCCTACCATGTAGAATGGAGATTACTTGAAGATAATTAAGAGACAGCCCTGTGGTGTCCACTTCTGTGGGTTATTCTCTGACATGAAGGATTGTGATGCTCTGCGAGACATGATGCCAAGATCACAACCGGGATGAAAAAAAACATGTAGAATAAATAAAAGAGAAAGATTTTATTTTACTACAGTATAACTGCGGTTTCCTTAGTGTGAGTAACATACATATGGGTAGAATGTACATCAGAAAGCATTTCTCAGATCATAACGTGGAGTCCAATCATATGAATGAGTTACAAAAAAACATATATTGTACTCGCTAAAGCATGCATATAATTTGCTCATGTCTCTGCATGTCGCATTAAAGATATCTGATGACGTCCTTAAATGTCTCGCTTTGTTAATTACAAAAATCCAGATAGAAATAGTTTTTGTACAACTTCAGCATTTACCCTGAAGTGATTGCATCGTGCTTTAAGATTACATGGGTTTTCCTATTTACTGAACATATCATAAAATCATGACAGTAATTCTTTATTGAAAATTAATTATCCAAAAGAGCTCCTCTTAAATGTCAGCGGCCTCTTTTGAAGTCCGATGCAAGGTGGTGCAACTCAGTGACTCAAATCAGGAGCACAAAACTCTCCCTTAAAGCGTCGTTGTAAAAACAACACACAGCCCTGAGGGGGGGGGAAATATATCCACGTTACTCTCAGTGAAAAAATATTTACAATTTGTGTTATAACTGCCCCATTTGTAACCGTGCCAGTGTGTCGTCCCCTGGTGTGCATAGGTGCTAAGGTTATCCGAGCATCATGCTGGGTCATGGGAGTGGTGGTGTGGAAGGTGCTCAGGTCTCCGAGCATCTTGCTGGGGCATGGGAGTGGTGGTGTGGAAGGTGGCAGCCTTCAAGCACCCCACTGTTAAGTGAGAAATCACGACGAATACCGAACATCGATCAGCGATCTCCAGGTCTCCAGAGCAACAACAACAACAACAACGCGAGCCACGCCAATGGCCATCTTCAGGGCCAAACAAAACGCCAGATAGGCCCTGGGACAAGGGGACATCGCAGCGATACACTTCTGCTGCTCCTGACACGTTTGTCTGGCTTTACCACCTGAATGTGAAATCGCAGTTGTTGCTCTCAATGGACAGCAGCCAAACGAGAGAAAGAGAGAGAGAGATGGGAGTGGCTCCCATGTGGGAGTCGCTTTGTCCGTTGGGACCGAGGGGTTGGAGCCAGCGCAGTGTCTGGTGCACACCCACTGGTCAATCTCACCCAGCACTCGGACAGCTGCCACAACAGCGGATGCCAGCACATGTTGTACAAAGGCACAACCTTTCATATCCCAACGTCGTGTTTGCGCCAGTGCCTTTGGCCATAAAGGGTTGTGTGCGCGTGTGTTCATTTGGCAATGTCATTTCAGTGCACTGACACCCAAGTAAACAATAATCGCATCTCGCAAGACTATAACAAGATATGTAAGCTATTTAAATTAAAACGATACGAAAAAATATACTCGAGGGAAAGGATCTTGTCGCACATATGGCTCTCATTTCCTGTCATTGGACAATATTTACGAGAATCTTTTAGGTTTAACCCTGGCACGCAAACAGCTTGATAAGTTGTGTGTCTATGGATCGGGGAAAAACTTGAGATATACAGTAGTATAGTGCTATTGCTGTCAGCATGTTATTGCTTAACCTTTTATTTTAAATTTTTATTAAAGAAAACAAACGCGTCTATTAACGCAGAGGTGGCTGTCAGTGTGCTGACTCCGCTCAGCTGACCTCGGCGAGGTTTTATACAATATTTATGGTTTCGATTTAAACTATGTTTTTGTACAGATGATCCATGGTGAAGAAATGGGGACTTAGCAAGAACATCTGGTAAAGCTGCAGTGTTTGTTTAGCATCCCTGACACTGCTGATGAGCCCCAGAAGGGAAAAAAACACTCCAGAGGTTGCGTGTTAAATAACATGTTGCTGATTTAGACAAATCTAGGGAGGCCGATTTGAAAGATATTTTATTTCTACATAGACAGAGAATGGAAAGTGATTTTGATTTAATCTCCGCTGAACCTGGTTGGCATTTTTGGAGACTGCCTGAGAACACCAGGTGTCAAACACTTGGATAG